GGCACGTGGGGTCAGACCAGCACAGCCTGTTGATCGACTGGAGCTCGCGGCTTGTCTTGAAGAACTTTTCCTGCCCCGCCTTCCAGAGTTGCCACTTGGCGCGCCACAGGCGTACAGCATCACGCCGGGCTCGTTCGTACGGTGCTACTACTAGCGCACCAGGATCACTTTCACACGTCGTTTGCATTATAGGGACGGCGTTTTCCCGTCGTTCTTTTTGTTGGGGCCTGACCCATGGCTTGCATTCCTGGACGCAGCTTCGCGCGCGTTCATTCAGAGGCCCTGCAGTTCTGTCCCCAAATAAAACGCAGAGCACACACATCGGGTGCTGGAATTAGCAGAGAAGCTTCGCTGGAGGGAGCGCACGCGGACTGCGCGGGATGGCCGTCGTGACTGTGACCGTTACGGGCGCGTAGTCTGGATTCATCTACACATTCGCGGACCTGCCTGTGAGCGAGACGGTGTGTGGCCTGAAGCGAGCACTTCAGGCCCGTAGCGGCACGTCGCGATTCCAACAGCGTCTCCTGCTCGGGGGGGATGCGCTAGGCGAAGACATTGAATTGGGAGGACTGGGGCCATGGTATAGCGCCGTACGTTGAGCTTGTTTACGAGAGTGTTCACGGCGCCATACCTGACGGAGTGAAATTCCGGTTCCGGGACGTCATTTCTGACGATGATATGGATGATTTAGGCCACCTACTGCGCGCCCCAGCCGATTCGAACCATGGGCTGGAGTGGGCCGCGTTCTACGCTCACGACGAGGCGATGGGCCTGCTGCTCGATGCTGCAGCAGACCCGAATTACGAAATCTGGCATTACTTCGAGGCCATTGACACTGCGATCCCTACGACTGCGCTCCACATCGCGATCACGGAGGGCAACAACGACGACCCCAACGAGCGCCAATTCGTAGCCACCGTGGTGGAACAGCTGTGTGCGGCAGGCGCTAATGTGGATTCAGTGGGCGGCGAAGGAGACACGCCCGTCACAGTCGCCACCCGCTGCGGCAACAGTGACGCACTCCGCCTCTTGTGCGCCGCGCAGGCAAACTTGGACTCGGCCGCGCCGCAGGGCGACGAAAACTGTGGGAACACTGCGCTGCAGAAGGCTGCTTGGAAAGGGGACGTAAACATTTTGCAGCTACTACTCGAGACGCGCGCAGACCCCGACGTCGAAGACGATGATGGTCTCACTGCCTTAGGTGCAGCGGTGTGCGTTGCAGGCGCTGGGCCGATGTTGCAAGCTCTTCTCGCTGCCAGGGCTGACGTGGACGCGGGGCGCGCAACACCTCTCAAGCTCGCAGCCGAAGGCAACAACTACGAGTGTTCGCAGCTCCTCATCCAGGATGGCGCATCGATGGCGAAGGCGCTCGTGGACCATGATGCCGTCGACATCGTCGAGAACATCTTCTTCATAGGCCATCAGAACACCGAGGCGCAGCGGCGTGCAGTCGACGCCCTGATCGCAGCGCGCAACGCGGACAGATTGTCTTGGTATTCTCCCAGGAATCTGTCCACGACGCACCGCGTTGTCCTGCCTCCAGAGCTTGCGCCGCCCCAGCACGTGTTCTATGCCTGGCGGGCGTCAGTAAACCATTGCACGCATGGGTTGCTGTGTAGAAACACTGGCCGCGCTGCGCGGGAGAATTCCTACGCGTTCCTCCAGAGCTACAACCGCGAGCACGGGCTCCAGTTGACCATCGAATACCTGGACCAGGAGATGCTGGAATGCATGCGCCTCCTCCCAAGCGACCCAGAGTACGTCTACCAGGCACTTCTATGTCTGCGCGCATACCGAGGCGGCGCATTTCCAAGCGCCGTGTGCACATCGGTGGCGCGCTTCGTAGCGTAGCCATGTCCAGAGCGAGAGGCTTGGCAGCTTTCCCAGCGTTCGCCCGTGCGTTCGCAGATGTCGGGCACAGGTCGAGCCTGAAGAAAAAACACCCGATTTGATCGCAGGCTCTGGCGCGGATTCTAGAGACGGCTCCGTGGGGATGGGGTTTTCTCGCAGGACGAACCTGACCCTCACTCGTGGGTCTTCGCGCCGTTGAACATTCCCCGGCCCGAGGTATGTGTGCGCCGCTGAACGTTCCCCAGCCCGAGGTATGTGTGCGCCGACAGATCTCCGGGGGAGCACATCTGCAGCAAGTGCATGGCGCCGGCTGTCGCTGTGCGTCGACGTCATGTCGTGCGAACTCGACATCGTGCCTCCAGTAAACAATCGAGCATGCACACGTCGAAGGCATTCCGGTGTACGTTACCCAGCGGGCTGCGCGACGACCAACTCAGTAACATTCGCCACTGGGCATACCTCCACTGTGCCCAGTCAGTTTTCTTCCGCGACGACCGCGGCGTCGTCGTGCTCGTCGGAGTAAAGGACGAGTTCCGCACGGCGGCCAGCTTCGGACGAACCATCAGGACTGCGCTCCGCCGTCTCTGCATCGACGTGCCGCTGAGGGGGCGCTGGTGCACCCTCATCACGCCAGGCGAAGCAATCGCTATCTGCGCGAACGATGGCGCCGCTCGCGGCGCTGTGCTGCCCCCAGCAGGCGACGCGGTCGACGCTGGCGCGCGACAGCGCATTGCCTCGCCGCGCGACGACAGCGGTGTCCGCGTCGTTGCGCTCAGCGGTTGAACAGGCCCCCGCTCACGGATTCTTGAACACCAACCCTTTGACATCCATTTTTAATTCAGCGTTGTCGTCGAGGTACAGACCATGTTCTCGACCAAACAAAAGGAAGACTTGCAATGTGCCGCTTACTGCGCACGGCTGACACTCCTGGAATTCGTCGAGGAGTTGTTCGAACGACAGGTGCCTGCGCCGTCGCAAGAACACTCTAACGCCTTCTGTGAGCGCGTCCATTATTGCTTTGTGCTCCTCGGTCCACCGCTCTGATCTCACGAGAACGACGTCGACTGCGCCTGGAAACTGTTCGAGAAACGATGCAACCTCGCAGGCCATTTGACAAAAACAAACAGAAATCGACATCGCACCATGCCGCGAGCTGAACTCGCCCGTATGTGCAGAGTCCCACATGTAAATACTGTGGCTTCGTCGCTACTGGTGGCGCCAGTCGGCCGTCGCGCCGCTATGCGAGACAGGAAACTGCTGTTGACAGCAAATGAGGAAATCGCCAAAGGACGCGCAGTGCCCACACTGCAAGCGGTTCTTCACCAAGCGCGGCTGACGTGAGCACCTTCGGCACGTCCGCTGCTCTCCGACGTCCACAGCAACGAAGCGTGTGTTCAAACGCGCTCGCTGCAAACACTGTGGAAAATCATTCCATTCTGGGAACTCCCTGCGTGTGCATGTCGCAGGCCAGCATCCTGCTGAATACGCACAATCGCCACACAGCGTTAAGGGCCACAAAGCGCCGCTGAAGCGGAAGGGTTCGCCCGAGGCAGACCAGCAACGTCCGCGCAGCGCAAGCCCACATGCTAAGCGCAAGCGCGATACTCCACAGCTGCAGAAGAATGAACATTCGACTACAGCCTTGCGCGAAGATGCAGAGATGCAGATCGCTCGCACACGACGCGTCTGGGAGGAGGTACTGCGACGGCAACAACTGCAGAGGGGCAAAACGGGCAGGAAACATCATGCACACAGTCAGGATAGATGATGCCGCTCCAGGATACATAGTGCGCAAAAGCGTATTAATACACATCGGCCCGGCGATTGCCGCTACGGCAGGCATCGCGAGGTCTGTGAATATCCCGCGGGGGTCGCGCACGGCATCATCTGCGAGGCAGGTTGAACTGACAGGTCGCGTCGGCACATTGACGCTCTGGCCTTTTGCTACAGAGGCAGCAGCGGTGCTTTCCGCCGCGGATATTCTCCACACCAGCGGGTGAAATTAAATCACCGCATGCGCCCCGCATGAGAAACTCTGCCGCCCTCTACGGGCCGCAGCTGGGTTTCTCTCCTTACGAGCTTACTGCAGGCGAATTTTTTCCGAGGCCATGTGTTTTGCTGACATTTCCCCCACAGGGCGATGCGCAGTTCTTCGCCTCATCCGAGGGCCGTCGAGGCAGAATTTCTAACGAGCTGGTGACACTTTCGCAGCTCGCAAGCGGCTGTTGCAAGTTGCCAGCATTGCTGCACCGCATCCATATTTTCTGCGCGCGTTGGTGCGCTGCTGATTTTTTCCCCGAGGGCGAGGTCCTGTGCCTCATGACACACGCGCGCAATGGAGTTATTATCAGGGGCCTCCGCTGGATGTATGAATAATTTTGAACCTCGCCCGAGGGCATTCGCGGGTTCTTCACTCGCTGAGCCCACAGCATCCCGATAATCTCCCTGCTGGTGGGTGTTTGGTGTTCGGTACGGACCAAGTCTGCAGCTTTTTCAAACTACCGAGGGATGGTCGCAAGTCCAACAGCGCACAACATGCATCCTACTGCCGTAGCAGCATTCGCTGGGCCGAGTGTATTATAGCATCTATTATCGATCCTGCGCGGGAGCATGTCTCCTGCGCCGCGCGCATGATCTATCCTGACCACGGGTGGCGCGAATCTGCAGTCACGTCACTCTTTCAAGACCTGTAAGCGACTGGGCGCACGCGCTCGGCCCAGCGAGTTGCCGAGGGCGATAACCTTAACGTCTGACTCCGCTGGCTCCCCCGCGTCAATGGCAAGCACCAGAACGTCGGGCGGTGGCAGCGGCTGCGGGAGTGCCACGCTACCTTCGTCTGCGAAGACTAGCCACCGACCTTTCAGCCGTGACACGTCGAAGCCGCTCCGCGGCGCGCAAAGCGCTGGCAAGCCGCTTGAGCGTGGAGCGAACGGAGCGGAGGAACGCCTCGCGGGTGCGGGCACGTTCCTTGGTTGCTCTCCAGATGACAACGTCGTCCTCGCGGGCAAGGCTCGACGCGGCGCAGTTCTGGCAGGCCCGCGCGCGCAAACGACTCAGCTCGGCATCGTCGAGCCACGGCAGCGTGGCGTGGAATGCCTTCGAAGTGTGCATTCGTCCTCCCTTTCTGTTCGTTCGAATCTCGTGTGAACCTACTCGGGCACGCGCAGCCCGTGCTTCTCCCGCAACTTGCGAGCCAGCGCGGCTGTGCCAGCGCCCCAGCCTTTCTGGAAACACATCGGAAGAGTAGCGCGCTGCATCCCGTGCGGGGGCTCCGAGCTCTTGAACCAGAGCTGAGGGTCGATGAGCTTCTCGTACGGGCCGCTATGCATTCGCACGAAGGCTTCGACGTTCTCAACCGGCTGGTGCAGCGCGGCCCCAAAGCCACGCTGGATGCACTTGCTGGGTCGCCCCACGCGCTCCGAACCATCTAGTAGCCCGCTAGCCTTTTTGTTGTTGCCGCAGTACGGTTTTGCTTTGCGCGGTCGAGCTTTCCCGTGTTGCAAGCTACTCCCACGAGGGGCGACACGCTCAAGCGCTCCACTCTGTGGCACTGCTCGAGGCTCACGCGCTCGCCGTCGCGGCTTCGACTGTTGTGAGGTGGCGGCATTGGATGTCGACCGCTGTGACGTGGCACCACTGTCGGAGGTGGGATTGGTCAGCTTGCGCCGAAGCTCGTTACGCGCAGTTTCTTCTGGGCTCTGCGCGTCGTGATGCGCACTGCTGCGCTCTTCCGTTCGGTGTGCAGGTATCAACCGACTGGCCTTACGCGCGCTGGTGCTGGTTGCGGCCGCGCGTTGCGCGGCGTGCGCAGATGCCAGTGGTACGTGCACCCGAGGAGATGACGGGCTGCACAGCAGCCCGGTGCTTTGACTCCCTCGTTGCGTCTGAGCCGTGCGAGCATCAGACGCGCGTGCAGTAGGCGTTTTTGTACTCCCTCTGGCCGGCGTCGCCCCAGTAGGCAGCTCCGCTGCAGAGCGTACAGCGCTCGCGGCGTGTTTCGCTGGATGCTGAACGAGCACGTCAGACCAATTCACGCTCATATCCGTTTATTATCAGTGAGAGGTGCGCCAGACATGGGCTGCACTTCGCGCAGCGCTGCGCTAGTGGGCGGGCTGTGCAAGCGGGGCAGGTGCGCCCTGATCTCGCAGCATCAGCAACTGCCGATACATCTCTCGCGACCGCGTGTCACAGCCAGGCGACAGTGCATGCAGGACAACACCCGCTTCGGCACAGGGCCACAGGGGAGCTGTCGCTCGCTTCTCGATCTGCGGCGGGTCCACGCGTACGCGGGATGTGCACGGCGTCGTGGTTTCGTCGCATGCGGTACTCGCCGCGGCCTTGTAATCCTCCTCGGTGCACAGCTCGAGCCAACCCTTTCCTAAGTCACCCATGTGAAGCCCCCACCGGTGCAAGTACAGCGCGACTCTGCCATCGCCGTCTCTCACTACGCAGTGCGCCTGGCAGCTGCTGCTGGCCCATTGGATCAGCCGTGACTCTAAGTCTGGCGCCGCTGCGCCTACTCTTGCAATGAAGAAGTGGGAGGTGGGTTCCGTCATCCGTCGACCGTTTTAACAGCAGCGTTGAACACATCAACCGCGCTTCGACCTGGATGTTTTCATCTGATGGCACGGAGATCGATGGACAGGCTGAAGATTGGAGATGTCGTTGAGTCTCGCGGCATCGGCGGCGGTTCGCGCAGCGCTTAGGGGAACGATGTGGTCTATTTCCCACAGTGACGAATCCGTGAAGGGCAGCCCGCAGATCGCACATTTGAAACCGTAGCGCGCCGCCACACGTTTCTGCATGAGCGGCGTGACCCTCTTGCGAATGCTGGATGTCCTCAGGGGAAGCGTGGATCTCGGCGCCGCCCGCTGCGGCGCGGACGCAGAGACACTGCCTCTAAACTCGGCGCGCCCAGCGATGCCAGGCTCGTCTTCCCCGCGCTCCGTGTGCTTGCGGCGAGACGTCGCCGACTGTTCAACACCCGCACGGCTCAGCAAGCAGACTGAAGAGTCCAACGCCTGCAGAGCCGAACAGAAGGCGATGGCAAGGAGCATAACCAGCCACCAGAGCATTTACTTCTTCTTCTTCTTCGGGCGACGTGGGCGACTCCTTCTCTCGTGGCTCGGCGTAGGGCTCCGCCTTGCCGCACGCACTAAGCGCGCAGGGGCGCGCGCTGCAGCACGTCGGGGGCATCCCTGGGAGCCGCTCCTTGAGCAACGCCGCGCTTCGCTGTGTAGCGGCACCGCTCGCTGTCTGCGCGCCTCTTCCTTTGCCCCTCCGTGCGCGCCACCATACTGCTCCGCGCTCAGCGGGGAGCCTGTCTGTTGATGTTGCTGGCGGTGTTGCCTTTTCGCATGCCTGCGCCGAGTGCCCTGTACGAGCAATGGCTGCGCGCCTTTGACGCTGGCTCTTGCCGCGAGCTTTTCTGCTGCCGCCACAGCTTGTTGCGCACGCTCTGTTCCCCAGGCTGCCCGACTTGCCCACGCCAGGCGTTGCGTTACTTTTGCGCACGCAGTTGATGTTGGAAAACACTCGCGCGCAAAGCTGTGCGGCCTGTAGCTCGACTGATTCCCAGCTCAGATTGCTCTAGTCGCGCGTGCCTGGCTGACTCAGTTGGCGGAATCTGTCGACTCTCGTGGCGTCCTCTGTCTCGGTGCTCTGAGCGGCTGCCAGCACGATGACGTGGACCCTAGCGCGGTGGCCCCCCTGCCGCACGACGCGGCCCGCCGCCTGTACGAACTGCGTGTCCGTCAGCATCGGCGAGAGGAAGACGACAGTGCTAGCCTCGCTCAAGTTCAGTGCAGGCAGGTCCGGGTCTGATAACAGACCCTTGAAGCCCCCCGTCTGCCAGGCCTTGAGGGTGTTCTGCTGCTCGACGGCTCCGCCACGTAGAATCGCCAATGGGACCCCCAGCTTGGCCATCTCCTTTCGCACGTCATCCAGCATGGTCCTCAGCGGGGACACCACTAGGACGCGCTCTGTCTCGCCCAGCCCGCGGGTGATTTCCGCCAGCTCGTAAAATTTACCCGACGTCTGCCGCTCCTCGTCCTCAGGCGCGGTATCTTGCGAGGAGGCCAGCTCCTGGCGCAACGCGCGGCCGCTGCGCCACACCGGACTGCGGGCGCGACACAGAGGGCAGTCGATGACCTGCGGCAGACACTCGCTACACACAAAATGCCCGCACGGTGCGACGTAGTAATCATCGTTCGTGTCGAAGCAAACGGGGCAGTCGACGGACGCAGCGGCGCCCAGCTTGCTCAGCACGCCCGCGGCGAAGGCGTACGCCCGACTCGCCCAGACGCTCTCCAAGCGGCGCTCTGTCAGGGGGGCACTGTCGTAGAACTCGGGCAGCTCACGCTCGGCCACGAGCTGGTAGACGCGGTCTGTGACGCATGGCCCCAGCTTTTCCTCGATCGCGGCTCGGTGGTCGTGCTGGTGCACCGCTCGCGTCAGGATGCTGGCCAACTCCACCCGCTCATTGGCTTCTGATAGGCTCCTCATTATATCCCGCCACACCCTCTGCTTGTACCCCTCGCCCTCGCCGCCCGTGGCCGGGAAGAGCATCGCGCGGATGACGGCGTCGGGTCTGCCGATCTCCAGGGTCACGGTGTAGGCCAAGCGTTCTATGGCGCTCATTCGCACTTGGCGGGATTCGAAGCGTGCCTCTGGGAAGACGGCGGCATTGGCGCAGCTCGGCACGCTGATGACGGCGGCAGGCAGCGTTCGCACGTCGAGGCCCAAGAGTCGGCCGACCGCCGCCTCTGTGCTGCCGTCGCCGCTTCCCAGCGTGGCCGTGAGCCCCTGGGCGAACACGCTGCGGAACCGCTCCAGGAAGCGGAAGACGGCGTCGGGGAACCCGCCGTGGGCCTTGTGCACTTCGTCCACGATGATTAGATCAGGCGTTGGGAGCTCCAGTTGTTTCAAATGGTGGCTCCGCAGCAGGGTGTGCGAGAAGATGATGAGGCCGCCGCGCGCGGCGCCCTCCGCCTTGCGGGCCGCCACGGCTCGCTTGAGCGCGTCTGTGCCCTCGGCCCAGACCGCTTGCGCCCCCGTCAGTGTCGCCTGTGTGGCCCATTGGCGCGTGGAGTTGGGCAGCACAATGCAGTACGTGAGCTTGTCCAGCGCCAGCGCCGCGGCCACGAAGGTCTTCCCCATGCCGGCGTCCGCGCGAAGCACAGCGGCGGTCTGCGGCACCATGCGCTGCGGCACCATGCACTGCACGCGGACCGTGTGCGGCGGCGCCCAGCAACTGAAGTCGGCGAGCATGCGCTCGGGGCGCTGCATCAACTGCATGATCCGCGCCAGCCCGGCCGCCTGCCAGGGGTGTAGCGTGCACTGCCCGAGCCTCCGCGTCGCCTCATCCTTGGTGGTTGTGCAACGGAAGAGGCCTTCCAGGTGGCAGTCGCGCTGTATGCGCATGTGGGCCTCTGCGCGGACGGCTTCTATCGACGTCTCGACGTTCAAGTCGCCGCACAAAGCGCGGAACAGCTCTGCAAACTGGAAAGGCTGGATGGAGCAGGCCAGCACTGCGGCCACCGCGGCGCGGTGGGCGTCCGGCGCATTTGCCCCGACGGTGGGCGACACGTTGATATTCTTGTTCAACTGGAAGGCTGGCAGGATCTCGCTCAAGGCATGCCCCGAGCGCGGCGCGCTTCGCGCGGGCCCTTGATAGCACCAATCACGGAGGAACTGCTCTTTGTTAAGGGGCGCAGCCGCCTCCTGCACTTGGATGTAGCGCGTAGAGAGGGCCTCGCAGCAGGGGAAGATGTCGGTGTAGGTCTTGGTCGTGCCGTTGGCGGAGTACTCCAGGAGTACGGCAGCATTCGTGGCGTGTCGCGTCACACGACAGATCTTCGCGACCATTGTTTCGGGTAGCCGTTGGCCTCGGGTGGCGGCAGGCTTGAACATCACGGAGCGGCCAACCCACTCGCCGTCGACGTCGGTGTCCAAGCTCCGCTTCGGCATGGCGGCGAGCGCTCGCCGAGTAAGGCTAAGGTGTGATCGCGTGGTAGTTCTTTAAATGCTTGAGCCAGGGTCTGTCGGTCGCTACGGCCGCACGTTGTACATCTATTCGCCTGCACGCATGGCGACGGTGCTGATCTAGATCTTGGGTTTGGGAGGGGGACGACATGCTGCATGTGGGGGGGGGGGAAAGCCATGGAAAGTCCGCCCATGGGGGGAGAGATCGATGCACACTTTGCATTTCTTTTCGAATGAGCCTGTGCTGGGGACTGGAGAGCAGCGGCACTTATTGTCTAGTGGGCGCGTCAGCTGTGGCATCCCTCACCGGTGCTTGCTCAGAGGCGTCGCTTCTTCGTCCAGGCAGGGACATAGTTTGGGTCAGTCTGGGAGGCAAATTTACCCCAGACGTTGTGCGCGATCTGCAGACTCTGAGCGCTCCGCTTCAGGCTCTTGTCCAACTCCGTCTCGGCTGTGCGTTCTTGAGACCGTGCCACAGACTTAGCGACGCTTGCGCCCTGGCCACAAGTCGCGCACACGAGACAGCCACTGCGATGGACTACTTTGCCGTTGCAGCGGCTAACGATCTCTTCTCCGTCGACGACTGTGCGCTCCTTCACATTGGTGCAGGAGATCTGCTTGCCGGCATGTGCGTGTTCGGCGCAGCAGAAGTGTTGCCCCAGTGGTATACCAGCTGGTAGTTCGCACTGGTTCTCGTGACAACGGCGTGGAGCGTCCGCGTCCCAAACTCTCTGGAATTCCTCCAGCTCGTCAGGTGGCACTTGGCACTCCATGGAGTAAAGCTTTTTCCTGGCTTCGGCGACAGTAGGGTATGCACCTCGCTCGAGATCCTTTCTCTCGACGATGTTGGCGTATTGGCGGTAGAGCTTCAGACAAGCGGTTCTCTGCGAATCCGCACTGATCTTCTCGCCGAACAGTTCCCGGAATTTTCGCGCAAAGTCCACGAGACTCGCACCCTCACCCAGCTCAAAACCGAGCCACTCCAGTTTGACGGAGTCCTTCATGTACTGAACCCCTGCCACATGGCACGTCGCGGGACGGTGGTTGGGATGTGCTTCACACCACGTCTCCAGCAAGCTGCCCCCGGTAAGCATGAAGCACGCGTCGCAGCGGGCTTCGCCGCAACCGCAGACCTTACGTGGCGCCTGGCCACACAGGGTGCATTCGATCGCTGTCTGGGCTGACGGAGCAGCGGCCCGTGGCTGGGAGGATGGAGGCGTCGTCGCCTGGGATGATGAGTGCAGCGCCAGCAGCACCTCGGCCCCTGGCTGAGATGCTGCGGTCATACTGGCTGGGTCGGTCCAGGAATGCACGTGCAGACACTTGTCGCAGCGCACGACGCCGCAGTCGCACTCCATTGAATGCGCATCGGCCAAACAGGCGGAGCAATGCTTGCTACCACAGCCGCAAGGCCCTGCGCCGCAGAGATCGCAGTCTTCCTGGCTCACCGCCCACGTGTGCGAGTTCTTGACCTCGTGGTATACACGCAGAAGCGACTGCTGCATGTCCTGCCCCGCCACGGCGGCCGCGGCGCAGGGCTTGCACCGAACACCCTCGCATGTGGAGCATCTGGTGAAGCCTTGCTTGTATGTCTCCGACACCGCTTTGCCGCAAGCTCCACAGGGACCAGACACCTCTGGCGTGCGCATGCTCTCGGTGAGAATTGGTGCTTGCTGTCGGCGAGGGCAGCGGGCAGCTCTGAGCGCAGTGCGTCAAACAGGGCCGGCATTTGCTGAAGCTCACCGCGGTGCACCAGGGGCGCCGCTTCTGGCATGATCGCCAGAAGCTCCGCGCAGTTCTCATCGCGCGCAGCCGCTACCACCTCTCCCTTTGTTGCGTGAGCATCGCCCCAGCCGAAGCGGCGCTGCGAGAATCGAGTGAAGTGGCGCACCCATACGACCTGCGCGACCTTGAAGTGGTCGACCTCGCGCACGACGGTGCCGCTCTCGTGTCGCAGCGACTCCACCACCTTGAGGAGCAGACCGTACCAAACTGCTTGCACCAAACTGCATCACAGGTACACGCATACAAGGAGGGAGGTGGAATTCATACTCTCGCTGTTTGGTAGCAGTGACGTCCCACTGACACCAGGCCCCAGTTCCACCTCCTTCCGCGAGGAGGGAGGTGGAATTCCTACTCTCGCTGTTTGGTAGCAGTGACGTCCCACTGACACCAGGCCCCAGTTCCACCTCCTTCCGCGAGAAGGGAGGTGGAATTCATACTCTCGCTGTTTGGTAGCAGTGACGTCCCACTGACACCAGGCCCCAGTTCCACCTCCTTCCGCGAGGAGGGAGGTGGAATTCATACTCTCGCTGTTTGGTAGCAGTGACGTCCCACTGACACCAGGCCCCAGTTCCACCTACTTCCGCGAGGATGGAGGTGGAATTCATACTCTCGCTGTTTGGAATGTACGAGTAGCTTGGAATAGCTTTAAAATAGCTTGGAGTTGCTTTGGAATAGCTTGGACTAGCAGGGAATAGCTTTGGAATAGCTTGGAATAGCTTTAAAATAGCTTGGAGCTGCTTTGGAATAGCTTTGGAATAGCTTGGAATAGCTTTAAAATAGCTTGGAGTTGCTCTTGGAATAACTTGGACTAGCAGGGAATAGCTTTGGAATAGCTTGGAATAGCTTTAAAATAGCTTGGAGTTGCTTTGGAATAGCTTTGGAATAGCTTGGAATAGCTTTTAAATAGCTTGGAGTTGCTCTTGGAATAACTTGGACTAGCAGGGAATAGCTTTGGAATAGCTTGGAATTATGAATTATGAATTCCACATCCTTCCTCGAAGAAAGAGGTGGTACTGAGGCCCAGTGTCAGTGGAACTTGGGGGCTGGCACATAACGAGAGTATGAATTCCACCTCCCTCCTTGAGGAAGGAGGTGGTACTGGGGCCTGGTGTCAGTGGGACTTCACTGCTACCAAACAGCGAGAGTATGAATTCCACCTCCCTCCTCGCGGAAGGATGTGGAACTGGGGCCTGGTGTCAGTGGGACGTACCAATGCCGTCGATTCCGTAGGCGTCGATGCGCATGAAGTATATACGACCTGCGCGACCTCGGGGAGCTTACGCAGGTTCAGGCACGTGACCGCCTGCATCCTGTTCTTCCAATCCCGAAGGGCATTAGGAATGGGCTGTCCATCGGTGACGACGAAATACACTGCGTCGCCAAGACCCGTCACCGTGGCGTTCCTGCCGTACCGCATGAGCCCTGCAAGCAGGACAGGCTGATCCGCAATAGGACACTCGAGGCGGATTTCGTACGTTTGAGGACCTGTCGCATCCTCGGCCGCTCGGCACTGCATCGTCTCGCGTACGGCGGGCCACTAAGGGTGATGCCAGTTTTTGCTTGTTTGAGCAAATGCTATGCAGCAATCCTTGGACGCGTGCTTAGATTTCGCTCATGTTTCGAACATTGTTCGCACTGCTCCAGCTTTCGAGCCAGGGAGGGTGAGGCAGGGTGATTCCTGACCACTGCCTTCTTCAACAGTTGAAGATGTGAACGCCAGTTTACGAACTCGCTAGGTCGCGCAGGGGGGCTACTAAATTCTCCTTCTTCAACTGTTGGAGAAGCATTTGCCAGTAGGTCTAACCTTGCCCGACAACTCGCTAGGTCGTGCTGGGTGCTACTAAATTATCTTGCTTGGCCAGTAGGTCTAACCCTGCCCGACAACTCGCTAGGTCGCGCTGGGTGCTACTAAATTTTCCTTCTTCAACTGTTGAAGAAGCAGTTGCCAGTAGGTCTAACCTTGCCCGACAACTCGCTAGGTCGTGCTGGGTGCTACTAAATTCTCTTGCTTGGCCAGTAGGTCCAACCCTGCCCAACAACTCGCTAGGTCGCGCTGGGTGCTACTAAATTCTCCTTCTTCAACTGTTGAAGAAGCAGTTGCCAGTAGGTCTAACCTTGCCCGACAACTCGCTAGGTCGTGCTGGGTGCTACTAAATTCTCTTGCTTGGCCAGTAGGTCTAACCCTGCCCGACAACTCGCTAGGTCGTGCAGGGTGCTACTAAATTCTCCTTCTTCAACTGTTGAAGAAGCAGTTGCCAGTAGGTCTAACCTTGCCCGACAACTCGCTAGGTCGTGCTGGGTGCTACTAAATTCTCTTGCTTGGCATGTAGGTCTAACCCTGCCCGACAACTCGCTAGGTCGTGCAGGGTGCTACTAAATTCTCCTTCTTCAACTGTTGAAGAAGCAGTTGCCAGTAGGACTAACCTTGCCCGACAACTCGCTAGGTCGTGCTGGGTGCTACTAAGTTCTCTTGCTTGGCCAGTAGGTCTAACCCTGCCCGACAACTCGCTAGGTCGCGCTGGGTGCTACTAAATTCTCCTTCTTCAACTGGTGAAGAAGCAGTTGCCAGTAGGTCTAACCTTGCCCGGTGCGCAGCGGCTCCACCGCCTTGAGGACCTTGCGGAATTCTTCGTCGACGCGCTGCTGCTTCTTCTCGGCGCGGCGCTGCCCTGCGCGCTGTTGCTTGGCCTTCTTCTCTCGGCGTCGCCGCGCATTCTTGCTGACGGTCGCCTCCGCTGGTGCACCAGGGCCGGCGGCTTCGTCGGCTGCCGCTGTTGGGATCGTGACAGAGGGTTGGACCGCCGCCTTCTGCACGAGGCGCTTGCGTTCCCGCGCCTCTTCGTTGGCGCGCTGGACCTCGTTGTCTGCGACGGTCTGCATCTCGGGCTGCTGAGCGGCGGGCTGATGCGCGGTGGGTGGCTGTGTGACGATCGTGGCCAGCGCCGTGCTGCTGGCTGCAGCCGCGGGCGCGCCGGTTCTCTTTCTTTGCGGCCCGTCTCGACTCACGCCGCCGCGCTGCTTCTTCGAGGACCTCCTCTTCCAGGAACTCGGTCAGGCGCTGGAGCTGTGGAGGCAAGCCGCCGACGGCCTCGGACGCAGCCAAGAACCCGGCAGGGAACGCAGTCGTCGTGGATGCCAGCGCCTGCTTTGCCGCATGGGACTCACACGCACCCTCGCACACAAGGTCCTCGAAAGTGGCC